TCGCCATTACAAACAGATTGGCCAGTCCCCACCCAACGCAAAGCAGGGCCGGGCAAAAAAACCCAACAGCCAAAGGCCCTTGGGGGAACGAGGGGTACAGCTCAGCATGCTCCTCCCTGAAAGAAGTCACAAGCTACCCAAGCGGGTGGGTCTTAGGGCTCTTTGGGTGGGTTTTTTAATTCAATTTTATTCTAGGCAAAGCCAGAACGTGCTGCAGAGAACACGTCAGAACGGCCAGGCTGGGTCAGACCCAAAGTCCATCTCGCCCAGCGGCCAATGCCGGGTGCCCCAGAGGGAGTAAACAGAACAGGGAATCATCCAGCAATCCCGGTCCCATCACCCATTCACAGCCTCTGACAAACAGAGGCCAGGGACACCATCCCTGCCCATCCTGGCTAGTAGCCATTGATGGACCTAACCTCCAGGAATTTCTCTAGCTCTTTTTTGAACCCTGTTACAGTCCTGATCTTCACAACATCCTCTGGCAAGGAGTTCCACAGGTTGACTGTGTGCTGTGTGAAGAAAAACTTCCTTGTGTTTGCTTTACACCTGCTAGCTAAAGCCCCGGGGTTGGACAGGACACATACAGCAGGCAACTGTTATCAGGATCTGTCATAACCAAGAGTGCTGACTAGCACCCGGTGACTAAGGGGTTAACTAATGTCTCCTGTGCCTAGCCAGGTATCAGGTGGTCAACCAATAACAATGCAGATAGGAATTTCAAACTGGAAGAGGGGTTTTTCTCTCTGTTCTTTGTCTGAGAGGCAGAGCAGTTTCTTCCAAGACTGAGGGAGATGGGACACACTTCTCTCTCCGAGAACGGACTGCTTACAATGCGTAAGTAGGGAAAAATGTAGCTAGTCCGTCAGGATTTGTTGTTTTCCCTGTTTGGGAATTTGGAAATAATGTCTGAGCTGTTCATTGTGTTTTTCTTTTTTCTTCTTAACTAAGTTTTAGCCCAGGGGGCTTCCCTGAGTATCTCTATCAATTGGTGGCTCTTTCCATCTAGCCACTTGACTATGCCCGCAACTGGAGTTTTGTCTTGATAAGAAAGGGTTGTTTTCTTTTCTAATGAACCGGGATTGGTTGGTTGTTGTGTCCTTAGGATCCGCGCCTAGTGACAAGGGCAGAGTCCATTGTTGCCTGAATTCCCTCGGTTTTTCCCAACTCCAAGTAAAACGGAGGTTGGGGTCAGGGAGAGTTTTACCTTAGGAAGGGGATTTCCCAAGTGATCTCCTCCCTGGTTTTCTTGGAATTACTTGAGTGGTGGCAGAGGAGTCCCCAGACTCTGGGTATTAGGGTTTTGGGGGGAAGCTTTGTACCAGGGCCTGTACAGGCAAGGCTTTGGCATGCTCTTGCGGGCCCTCACTTCTTATGTTCCCCACTCTGGCCTGACGAATGCAGAACGGCCAGACTGGGTCAGACCAAAGGTCCTTCTAGCCCAGTGTCCTGTCTGCCCACAGTGGCCAATGCCAGGTGCCCCAGAGGGAGCGAATCGAACAGGTAATGATCAAGCAATCTCTCTCCTGCCATCCATCTCCACCCTCTGACACACAGAGGCTGGGGACACCGTTCCTTACCCAGAATGGCTAATAGCCATTTATGGACTTAACCTCCATGAATGTATCTAGTTCTCTTTTAAACCCTGATCAACATGCAGCCGTGTTAGTCTGGTCTTGCTAAAACAAAAGACTGGACTATGCAGCACTTTAAAGACAAACAAGATGGTTTATTACGTGATGAGCTTTCGTGGGCCAGACCCACTTTCTCAGATCAATTTGTGGAAGAAAATTGGCGTGACCATATATAGTAGACTTCCGATAATCCGGAACCTATGGGATTTAGGTGGTGCCGGATTATCAGATATGCCGGACTATCAGGGGGTACTATAAGTTGGTTATATATATATATATATTATACACACACACACATATACACACACACACACACACACACACACACACACTGTATACATTATATACTGTATATAAACTGTTCTTAACTCTTTTTCCTGTACATACTGTATACAGTATACTGTAACGTTTTAGTTTTTTTAAGCCTTTTTTACCCTTTTTACTCAGTTCAGCTACTGCTGCCGTTACCTTGCGACTCATTTTTTGCCGAAGCTCACTCACTAGGCTCTTGCCATTTTGATGCCGGACTATCAGGAGTGCCGGACTATTGGATGCCGGACTATTGGAATTTTACTGTATACCAAAGTGATACGATCAAAAAAAGTGAACACATAAAATTGACAAATCAAATTTTAGAATAGAGTGGTGGTACGGGGGGAAGGTTAGTGTCTGCAAGGTAATGACATTAGGGGGTGATAATTGGAGAAGCGATCTTTGTAATGGGTGAGATAATTAGCATCTTTGTTGAGACCCATACATAAAGTGTCAAATGTAAGCATGAATGACAATTCTGAAGCTTCTCTTTGAAGTCTGGAGTTAAAATCTCTCTGAAGCAATATGCATGTTTTAAAGTCATTGAGAGAACGGTCAGTGTGGTTGAAATGGCAAGCAACGGCTTTCTCTCTGAGAGAGAGCCTGATGTCTGTTTTATGTGCATTGATTCTTTGGCCAATTTTATGTGTGTTCACTTTTCTTGATTGTATCACTTTGGTATATATGGTTGTGCCAATTTTCTTCCACAAACTGATCTGAGGAAGTGGGTCTGGCCCACGAAAGCTCATCACCTAATAAACCATCTTGTTAGTCTTTAAAGTCCTACGTAGTTCTGTCTTCTTTTAAACCCTGTTCTAGTCCTAGCCTTCACAATCCCCTCAGGCAAGGAGTTCCACAGATTGACTATGCGCTGCGTGAAGAAGAACTTCCTTTTCTTTTTTTTAAACCTGCTGCCCATTAATTTCATTTGGTGGCCCCTAGTTCTTATATTATGGGAACAAGTAAATAACTTTTCCTTATTCACTTTCTCCACACCACTCATGATTTTATAGACCTCTATTATATCCCCCCTTAGTCTCCTCTTTTCTAAACTGAAAAGTCCCAGTCTCTTTAATCTCTCCTCATATGGGACCCGTTCCAAACCCCTCATCATTTCAGTTGCCCTTCTCTGAACCTTTTCTAATGCCAGTATATCTTTTTTGAGATGGGACCACCACATCTGTATGCAGTATTCCAGATGTGGGCGTACCATGGATTTATATAAGGGCAATAAGATATTCTCAGTCTTATTTTCTATCCCTTTTTTAATGATTCCTAACATCCTGTTTGCTTTTTTGACTGCCGCTGCACACTGCGTGGACGTCTTCAGAGAACTATCCATGATGACTCCAAGATCTCTTTCCTGAATAGTTGCAGCTAAATTAGCCCCCATCATATTACATGTCTAGTCGGGGTTATTTTTCCCAATGTGCATTACTTTACATTTATCCACATTACATTTCATTTGCCATTTTCTTGCCCAATCACTCAGTTTGCTGAGATCTTTTTGAAGTTCTTCACAGTCTGCTTTGGTCTTAACTCCCTTGAGCAGTTTAGTGTCGTCTGCAGACTTTGCCACCTCCGTGTTTACCCCTTTCTCCAGATCAAGGGAACAGCCTTGACAGGATCAGTTATAGACTCCTTGCTCAGTATGAAAGCGAAACTCTCTTTAACGGAGCACAGCACGGACGAGTCCCTCCCGCCGAGCTGAGCCAAGAGAGGGCCATGCCAGAGGGATGGTCTGCAGTGGCTGTTTTTTAAAACACCAAAGACAGAACAGCAAATCTACCAACAGCACCAGTGCGTCAGAGGGGCACGAGGGCCAAACCCAATGCATCCGGGGAAGCGTTATTCAAAGAGCCTGTTGGGGAGAGCCTCATGCGTTCCCGTCAATCCAGATTCCCTCCTGGAGACGCGCGGGACCCTCGCGGTCAGCCCAGCCTTCTGCAAGCGGGGACACTTTGCAAGGCAGGAAGCAGCCCACAGAGCTTGGCAAAGCCCCACTGAGCAGAGCCCCCATTCTAGTCTAAAGCAGGAGATGCGGATCTGCTAACATCGTGTGCCACGGCCTGCAGAGGCTCCCCCCCAACCCGCACCCGCCGCCCCCGGGGGAACGGGGGG